TTTTCATTTGTACCAGTACTGATTTAAAGTATGCATTTTATGTCCGACAAAACTAAGAGCTATGTATAGCTTTATCATAGTTTTGATGTGGCACAATAATTGCTCATGCTTTTGTCAAGAACAGTATAAATTATTCAAGCAAATACTGTAAAAGATAGTCGGGAATCCAGCATGTAATAACTGGGAAAGGAGCCAGCTGCTGTTTGCAGTGAGAGGTCCAAGGTCCTCTTCCGAAGTTTAAGCATGCAAACTTTAGTTTATTATAGTTCAAAAAAGGGAAAGCCAATCCACACAAATAGTTCTCTGGGCTGCTCACCTCTTCTGAGTATAATTAGTGATTTCTTAAGATTTCTATGGCACAGAGTTGAGAAGAAGATACAATCAAAATGATAAGTCAGTCAATAATTCTCAAGAGTAATTAAATGATTGATGTAATTCAGTATATGAAATTAAAGTTGGAATCTCAGTTAGTAGCCTTGTTAGTAGCAGATGTTAATATATTATTTTTGCCAATTGCAGCAGATAATTTGGGACAAATGAATCCAGTCTTAGAAAGGAATGTCACAACTATCAGATAATATCTTTAATTGTAGAATTCGATGCAGTTGCTGCAGGAGCACCAAAAAAGTCAAGCTGGCAGGGTGACTATGCCATCAAAGCCCCATCACTTTTTTACATGTGGCAACACATGAGAGAAAGGGAAGGGCCTTGATTCCTGCCTTGCCTTTTTTGAGAGCCATCTCCTGGAATTGAGAAGGAATCGTTAATCTCCCTGATCCTTTTAAAAACAGAAAATCTGACTGTTACTCAGTTTTTGTTCTAGTACTAGACAGAACATGTTCATTTTGGGTAACCAGAAAAGATGTACGTAAACCATTTTACATTAGCAAAACCAAAGATTAATTCCATTCTTTATCTGTTCTTATTTGGGCTACAAGTCTAAAAACAGAATAAGAATAAGCTCCATTGGCCTTCAACTTTGATCACTTTGTCTTATAAGTATGGGTATATTTGTTTATAAATATCAGGACCAAATCATGAGCATTTTTTCAAAATGAAAATATTGTAAATGAGAGTATCATTAGTTCCCGAACTTTAGCTTTGCAACTTCAGCTTCAAAGCCAACTGCAAACAGAAATTAATTTGCCATGGTTCTTGCCAAAATAATATTATATGCAATTATGAAATACTCCCTACTCCACCTATTGCATCCAAATGACTGAACATGCCCTTAATTCCTGATCTGTTCCATTTCCCAGTGCTGTTCATTCTAGGAACTGAGTCTGCTCCCTTTGAAGATAAGCAGAATATTGCTGTGAACAAAGCTGGATATTTGAGCACATTATGCTATTAGTCATCATTGTGTTATTGTAGTATGCAGTTGTATCAGCAGTTTGGGCTAGGTATTTGATTCCTGAGCTAACACTCCCACTATACAAGATTAGATCTTTCTTTCTTTTATTAAATCTTCTCCAGAGTTCTATAAATCTGCCATTATCTATCAGGCAGTAATGTCTTTAAATATAAATAGTATTAAATATTCAAATTCCCACCAAAAAGAACCTCAGCTTGCATCAACTCTTTGATTGATTTACTTAGAAATAAGGTCCTTAAAATGCATTCCCAGATAAATAGGATTGTATCAAAAACTAAGCAAAGTAGGGCAGTAGGCTACATTAAAAAAATGGTAGTGTCAAAACATTTCTAATACTGTGACCAAACCCCAGTGTGGATGTCTTTGTAAAATCACCAGGAATTAAGTTTGTCTTCAATTCCTTTATCTTTAATCTTTAAATTTATCTTTCAGTAGGATTTCAATGTGTGTGTGAGAGGCGGGGGGGAGAAGAGAGGGAGAGAGAGAATTACATTTTGATAGTTTAACTGCACCATATTGCTAATTTGATCATAAACTGATTGAATGTGATCCAAGTTAGGACCTCTGAATGAATGCAGGCTTTGTGCATACCTGTATCCTAATTTAGATGCACACCTGGAGATGGATTTTCATCTCCCTTGTAATTATTCACTTAAGAGCCATTGAACTGGTTAAACATGTATTTTACAATGGGTGGGGATGCTCATCCTTATGAGCATTTATGAGTTTTATACAAGCAACAGTACTCGGGAGCACCTTTGCCTTTTCTTTATTTTAGAGACCATAAAGTATACAAAGACAGTTTATCTCAGTCTGTCTCACTTAGAAATTTGCTTGTGTATTCTTTGCTGGTGAGAGAATTATATTCTTTATTTTATATAATGAATATGCATGAATCAGGTATGAGCTGTGCATTAAAATCATAGTATCAATAATTTTCAAACGTCTCTTCTGATGACTATGAATTCCCCAAATCCTTTAGCAGCATGGTAGATAAAATAATTCTGTGATTTAGTGAGAGACTCAGACATTGGCAAGCTCTTTCTTGTTTTAATACTTTGCAGGTTGCAACTCATCAAAAATACTTATTAAAGGAAGGTAGAGAAATGCATATCTTCTTAGCAGGCCCTTTCCCCCTCTAAACAGTTGTCTTCCATTGCTTGCAAAATAAGAACAAAATTGCTAATCTTAATCTATTTATCAGCTATTCAGGTTGGATTTGGGGAAAAGACCCAGAAGCAGTTTAGCAGAATTCTTTGATTCTGGAATATTTCCCAGGACCCTAAACCTAGCCAAACTTTCACGTGAGTCCCCGTGTAAAGTTTGATATTTGTCTGATCTAAACCCTATATTTTTTCCAAGTGAATAGATACAGTCAATGTTCACTTTTGGGTGTTTTTCCTTTGGGTCAACAGCTAATTATTGATGGATACTAATTTTGGGGGTTGTTGAAAAAATGGTAAGTATTCCCAAACTCTTAAGAACCAGGAGACAAACCAGTGTTCTTGCTATAATAGTATTGATAACAAGCTATTACATGTTTTGTATTTAAGTCTACATGAAAACAATTCATTTTTCTTAAGATTGTTAATTTTTACTGGAAAAATAATCCACCCACAGATCACATGCTCTTGCAGGTGGACCATAACTTGCAGTAAATAAATTTCCTCTCATCTGATGCCCTCAAGATGTCTTGGTCTACAACTCCCATCATGCCACCTAACAGTATAAGGCAACAGGTTGGAGGATACTGGACTAACCAACATTCATATTCCAAATTTTTAAATGAATTGTGTACAAATTATGATTGCAGTAAGAAACACAAAAACCTTGGAGAAAATTATTTAGATCTCTAAAATTTGCTGAAACATAAATTTATATATCAAAGCAATCCAAACTCATTTTTTAATTAAGAAAAAGAGGGTGTTTTGCTGCTGCAAACTACAAATCATTTTGAGTGAAGTATAGATGGTAGTAATAAACAGGTTTTCACTAGGCAGGTGGAAAAAGTATCGTGCCTCCTTAAAACAAGTCCATACATATACTCTAAACCCAAGCCAACTATATAATTCGGTCTATATAAATCCCATTTGGAGATGGGAGATATTGTATCATCTCCCTCCTAAATATAATTCATTATGAATAAGACTGAGAGTTGCATCTTCTATGCATCTAACAGGTTCAGCAGTGTCTATTCATACCTTCCAAGGGCAAACAATCATAAATAGATTTCAGTGTATTTTATGTGGTGACCTATGTAATTATATATGACATTACAAAGATCTATATTCCACTTCTTCATATGAAACCTCCAAAGTTCTTCTGAAATATTTGTAGCTTCTGCTTTTGATAATCATGTCATTCCACCTGTGAGGTGTGTTAAAGGGATTCAATATGCCTGATACATTTATTCATTTTCTCTTTAAAAAATAAGGACCAGCTTCCTTCTCAATACTAGAAGCATACTGAAAGTCCTTCCAAAGAAGGCCCCAAAAGAAAACTTGCTGGCAAATATCTGACCCCAAACTAATGGGAGTCGCGCTACGAATTGCAAGCAGTTTAGATTGAGACCTGTAGGTTTACCTCTTTTAAAGAAGGTTTTAAAAATGGATGTTCTGCTAAAAGACACGTTGCTGCAAGTAAAACTGACTGAGGCTGCAGTTGGTATGCAAGCTGATCATAGAAGTGTGGATTGTTAGGTGAACAGCCTAATCCTATTTCTTTTCCAAACTAAGCAACACTCCAGATTTAAAGAAACCTGTTTGTTGTTAGTTTTTGACAACTGTTTTTGACAGCTATCTCTCTGGATGAGCTTGATTTTACTGAAGTAAAAACAGCAAACAGAGCTGGGTTTATTTGTTATAGAATTTCACATCAAAAGAATTCTCTCTCTCTCTCTCTCTCTCTCTCTCTCTCTCTCTCTCTCTCTCTC